ACTCTATCGTTGAGACCGTTCTAACTCGAGTTATGACCCGTTAATGTTTGATAAGCCACTGTATAAGCGCCATCTTTGAATGTTTAGGCAATTTTTTGTCTTTTTCAAAAAGACTGATACGTCTTCAATTTAATCGGTTATTTATCAAAATTCCCTCTTTTCTACTTCCTAAAGCCAGTCTTGCAGTCTCCGGTGGCCTTAAGTAAGTTTGTCAGAACAGTCTAAAAGTTGTTCTGCTTGTATCGGAGTACACCAATGACCATAAATGACCTAGGCATCCAGGAGGGGGCGTTTGATAGATAGGAGGCGTTTATTCTCATAACTGCAAGAAGCTCAACAAATCTAATGCCATAGGCGAAAATATCAAGAGAGGTTAAAAATAACGGAATATCCACTCCATCATTGATACGTCTAGGCCGTCTAGAGATCCATATCGCTCTTTCAAATCCCAACATCGATGTCAGAATCTTCGCTCAGGGCCAGACGTATAGATGGTTTTCACAGTGACGTCATCAAATTGTAAAGTCAAAATAGCGAGGTTTTACGAATTCTTATTTACACTAGGTTGAAGATAAACAAAAAGTTAATCTTTGTACAAGTTTTCAGTCCCATAGCATGTTTCATTTCGAAAATACAGCAATTTGAACTTCCGAGTTTTCAGAGTGCGTGACACCAAAATAGGAATGCTGTCTCGTTGAAAAAAAGTCTCTCCTCTTGATTTTCAGCAGTATAACCATTTCAAGTATTAGAAGATATGTTTATGCGCACGTAGGCTAGTTCTCGAGTGAAAAGAAGGAGCTTTTATAGAACAAGTGAACTCCTGATGTTTTTGTTGATTTTCGGCGGCCATATTGGTGCACCAAAACTGTGCACCAATATGGCGTCTCCATACAAAGCTCTACAAAGATGCGTGAAACGTTTCGGCAAATAACTCAGAAACTGTGGGCCAAAAAGACCTGAGACTTGGACAAATTGTTTAAAAATTAGTCTTTTATAACATATCATTTTCTTGACTTCTTTCACTGGACGGTTTTCAATTTATTTTTTTGTTGCGTGACAGTGAAAACGATCTATAGTTAATCGATGAACCGATATCGATAATATTCGATAGTAATCGATATCAGTCATTGATGAATATCGATTTCTGATCGATAGAAATCGATACTGAAAAAAGCTGACTTCGATTAATATCGATGATTTTCCGATAGAAATCGATAATGATTTTTAATCAATCGATTCTTGATTAATCGGCGGATTAAATCGATTAAGATCTATGATATCAATTGATTTCCGGTATCGATTTTTTTCGATTAACCACGTCTGGTCAGGTTTATTGTGTTGCCATCATTAGTCTATCCTTGCTTTGAAATTGGCATTGAACAAGATGAAATACGCAAAGCCTTGCTAATCAAGTGAGAAACTAAATGAATCGAATGATTTTGCTCCTCTTCCCTAATTCCTAATATTTTGGAGGAATTCTCATAGGGGGCGTCTAATAGACAGGGGGCGTTTATTAGAGAGGGGCATCTTATTCAATTTTAAGAGCGTAGAGGGGGCGTTTATTAGATAAGAAGCGTTGATTTGGAAAAGGGCGTCTACGACGTCATTTACGGTTTGCACGTTACTTTTCTATTGCAAATGTTGTCAAGGAAATTTCCTCTCCCAGCCAACTGTAGAGGCTTCTTGTAATCACCGACGACACTGACTCACGGTACTGGCGGTTGTATGTGTTGTGGTTCAGTTTTATCCTTGGTTGAAATTTTACTTCCCTTTGTTTTGAGGTATGGTAATATACGATAATGAGTTTAAAACAATGGGAAATTCGAAATAAAAATTAAACCAAGGATAAAATTAAACCATAACATTGCAATAATAGGAGTCAATTGTATTTGGCATGGTTTCACTCACAAAAGCGATAAATATCTGAAAGTTCCTTGTAGTAATGTTTGATCAATAACCATCTTAAAATCACCGAAACATTCTGGTGCTGCTATCTTTGTAGGGGATGTTTGAGGTGGGGATGGGGTCGGGGTAACTTTCACCAGCGACGGAATTGTGACGTCATTTGTCGAGGTCATTTCAGGCCCAAAAGAAATACCCCTTGTTTTGCATTTATACAGAATTATAATCACTGGAGTCGCTGTTATGTAATGGAGATTTTTTTATGAGCCCTACCTGATGCAGCCTGTAAGCAATCTCTTGACCAACACAATCCTCCATAGTGGCTTTGTTGTTTAGAAGTTTGCGATGTCGAATTGACTGACATCATTTTTTCCTCTGGTTGAGAATTTCTATCGCGCTCGATCAAGTAAAGACTTAGTAACACAAGACAGCACAGGACCAGCAGAACGATTACAAGCACTAAGCTCTTAACAAGCATCGAACAATGTTTGCTTTTCTTCCTCTCCACTGGCAAAGAACTTGATCCTGATGATCCCTGTCTCTTTTTCGGCTTCTGGTAAACATCACGCATCTCTACCGTTAAATTGACAGGATCCATAACTTTCAGCCTTAATTTCCACGTTCAAATTAATCACTCACTACAAACTTCTAAAAGAACTAGGCAACAGATTCAAGAAATAATACACAGTTTCAGTGCGACGACACCACTTCCGTTGAGTCCAACCTTATTTGTCTTTTTATCTTTTCATGTCCTCACGTCGCCAGATGACGTCATGGCGCCCTTAATTAATATATTAACAGATGTATCCGGAGTTTAGTGTCTACGTTGAAGAGGTTTTGTTGACCTTCTGCTCTTAAATACTTAAAAAAAAAACAAGTGTGGTAAAACGATTACGTCACGAACTAAGCATCATCAGGCTTCTTTAAATTTTTAATCGTCTTGCTTTAAGTCAGGCTATTTCAAAAATTATTATTTCGAGAGTTAAGAGACTTTGTAACTTTTGTGTGGGTGAACAGAATCAGGCTCGGTAATGAATCCATTATTGTTGAAATGTTGTCACAACATTTTCTTATTTCTTCTTGGAGAGTCTTTTGATAACCAGCAATTGTTATAAATGTGTCTTGCAAGACAGTATTTTTATCTGCTGTGAGATCGACTTGTGGCAAGTGTATAAATCTCAGTGAAATCCAGCGTTTTTAAAATACGTATCTGTAGTGAGTTTTCTATGTTGTTGTTCTTATAGTATTTTCTTTTTCTTCACTTTTACTTTACGTTATCTGTTGCTGTTTAGTTATGCTTTCGTACCGGAAATCTTTATGTCGAAGATGAAGAAGACTAGTTAGTTGAAGCCCCCCACGCAGACATTCTTAGGGGGTCGTCACATGTTCCTGCCCCAACTCAGGAACGCGTGTAGAACCCTTAAGAACGTCTGCGTGGGATGCTAAGTTAGTTGCCGATGCCGTAGGACCCGGTAGCCTATTAACGCAGAGGTTTCAGATATCCCAGCCAAGGTTATCAGGTATTCAGTACAAAACACTGTACCACATTCATTTGACTATATCTAACCAGATAAGAACGCACCTGTCCCTAATGAGGTCCAAGTGTCCTCGAGTACTAGTGATTAACAGCAAGAGGATCATATGATTTTATCACTCCATGCAAGGGAATTGGGATTCCGGAATCCGGGAAATTGGTGCATGTGTAATCCGGAATCCTGAACTTTGGATTCCAGAATACAGCTCAAGGAACCCAGAATCCCACTAATGATTGAAATTTAGAATCGAATCTTTCTGCTCCACTGACAGACTGGAATCCAGTACCTGGAATCGGAATACACGGTATGAATATGGATCCAAGACTGTTGGATCTGAATTTCCTTACAAGGGGCAAATTTTCACACTCAAATGCTCTACATTTGGTATTGTTAATATTCGGCACTGCAGTGGCGCGACCGTTTGAAACCAAGTCGAGCTACTGCCGTGTAGCACGCCATAGCTTCAGCTGTAGTTTGCCGAGCTATACGGCAGTAGCATGACTTGGTTTCAAACGTCGCGCTACTGCCGTGCTAAAGTCGAATTTAGTTGGGCACGGCAGTAGCATTTACTCCTAATTGATATAGGCTTTGATGTAGCCGAAACCAAGTATCCACATAAAATGGTTTTGAGCCCGCGCGATATAACCGAGGGATCAGCACTAAAGACTGGAAACTACTCTCACTATCGAAGGGCTTGTTGAGGAAGCTTTGGAGTTTTTTATTGATTTCCATTCACTTGAGCTTAATTTTTGGATTTTCCCAGTATGCCAACAGTGGATGTCAAGAGAGAACTGTTATTTAAAGCTATTGGCAAGGAATTTAGTGAGTAACACCCATTTCTAAGTAGCACACGTGGTAGAAACATCGAGTAGTTTGTCTTTGTATGTCATTGAATCATTGTTATCTTATTTTAATAGCTGATGAAGAGTTTGAAGAACTGTGCTTTGATTTTGGACTTGAATTGGATGAAGTGGTAAGTTTGTGTTTAAAAGCTTTGTTATTAAGGATCTAACATTATAGACTCTTCTGGAACGAGAAGACACTCATTCAGACTACATACATCTGTACGTAGGTAGTTTCCGGCCTTTGGTCACCCGAACTTTGCCGTTAGGTTAAGAGTTTGTAGGGTTACTAGATATGTTGTTTATGGCGTCTTTTTAATATAGACTCAATTTATATTGAAGCAAACAATGGTACAAGCACTAGCTTATAAAAGAGTTTCTCCAAATTTGGCCAACTGAATTAGATACTAAATTAAGTCATCCAAAGAGGAGGGTGGCAAAGGGGGAGGGGTACTTATCACGCAGCCTGTATACGCTGACTTTCTTTAGGTCACCAAGCATCATGGCGAAAAAAATTAGCCATCACAAACGTCTGTGTGGGAGGCTATAAGGTTATTATGGCAATTTTTTGACTCATTGAATGAATCAGCTCCAATAAATTGTTTTCAGTGTCCTTTCTAGGTAGGATTGAGCACTAACAGTTAATTGAATGACCTTGATTTTACAAAAAGGGTTCCCTGAAATCTGGTGTTGTTCAAATTTTCACTATGTTAACCAGCATTCACTGATCTGAAGTTAGAGGTCATACACACCTTGTTACCTGGATGTGGACACCTAAAAAGTCAGGTTACAGCACTCATTTCTATTGTCACCAACCTGTATTAAATGTATACTTTTAACCCATTTGCTCCTAGGAATGTTGATTTAAAACGACTTTGGAATTTTTCAGGGCATTTTCTTGCAAACATTTATTTTATTTATTATCTGTCGAAACCTGTATTTAGTAGACACTAAAGCATTCCCATAGGGTGTCTGCTTTATACAATTGTCACTGTAAAGAATAATAAATACAAAGTGTGATAACATATGTCACTGGTCAAATTGATTTCAGGTTAATTTTGATTTAACCTAGGTTGATTCTCAATTTCCTTTGTTTCCTAGCAAAGGAAATGGAGAATCAGCTCAGGTTAAAAAAATTTAACCTGAAACCAATTTGACCTTTAATGAATATATATGTTACAGGTCAAATTTGATTCCAGGTTAAAATGTTTTAACCTGGGTTGACTCTCAAATTTTAATCCTCTGTCTGCTAGGGCTAGGAGACAAAGGAAATTGAGAACCAACCTAGGTTAAATCAAACTTAACCTGAAATCAGATTTGACCTGTAACATATATGTTGTGTTATTGAACTTTGACCTTTCATGTGTCACGCGCGTGTGTTGTTTAGTATTTAGGCATGCGCACTACAGGAATAGAAGAGAGGAATTAAACATGGCAGTTTCATAAACACATGCACGCTGTTGTCTCTTGAATGACTCGACATGGTGTCAGAAGCGGGATAAATTTCGCTTAACACGTCGTGGTGAAAAAGAAGAAAATTCGTACAAACGCTCAACAATTCATTCAAAGTGCAAAACGGCGAGAACATGTCAGATAACGAAGCCGAACAAGAAGGAAATCCTCCCGGCGCATTGGCGGGCGCCGAAGAACAACCTGTGATTGCTCAACCGCAAGTTGTCCTGCCAAACATTCGACCGGTCGCTAACTTTCAGGTAACCCCACCGGAGAAATTTTCATTCAAGCCGGAAGACTGGCCAAAGTGGATTCAAAGGTTTGAGAGATTTCGCAAAGCTACTGGACTTGATAAACAAACCGGCGAAAATCAAGTAAACACATTAATTTACACAATGGGTGAACAAGCGGACGACATCTTCATCTCATTCGAATTCACCGCCGAACAAGAAAAGAATTATGAAGAAGTGAAAGAAAAATTCGAAAATTACTTCATCGTGAAAAGAAATATCATCTTTGAGAGAGCAAAATTCAACTCAAGAAGCCAACGAGCGGGAGAATCGGTGGATAGTTTTATCACAGATTTGTATGGCCTGGCAAGGTACTGCAATTTTGGCGCCGCTAAAAGAAGAGCTCATTCAGCGACCGTATTGTCGGGGGATTACAAAACCGCGAACTTTCGGAAAAACTTCAACTAGATCCGAATCTCACCCTGGAAAAAGCTACAAATTTAGCGAGACAAAGAGAGACGGTGAAACAACAACAAAACATTCTTGACGGGCGGATTCAAGTCTACTCCAGCGCACGTTGATGGCATCGCGAAAAGGAAAATCACGGAGAAACAAAGGAAACTTCAAAGAGAAGTCGCAAGACAAGTCTAAAGAGAAACCTTCCGATAGCTCCAAAGAGAAAAATCCTGATCAAAAGTGCCAAAGGTGCCTTGAAAATTGCACCAAGAAGAAACGTGTCCTGCACGCTTCTCCAAGTGTAACAAGTGTTCAAAAAATCGGTCATTGAAGCGAGGCTTGTAAAAGTTCAAAACCAGGAAAAGTACTTGAAGTTACTGAAGAGGAAGAATCGTTCTTTCTAGGCGAAATCGTGGACGTTAGTGAAGTCCAAAGCAACCCCACAAAGTCACCATGGATTGCAACCGTTCTTGTGGACAAGAAACCAGTTAACTTCAAGCTTGATAGTGGTGCAGACGTAACTGTCGTCCCATACAATACCTTCCTTAGCATTGATCTGAAGATACAGCTTAAGCTTACTGATAAAGTGCTCCTGGGTCCATGCAATTACAGGATGAACTGTAAGGAGAATTCACAGTCACTCTCACTTACAACCAAACTTCCACAAAGGAAACCGTGATATCGTCATTGAAAGTTTAGCAAGACCACTTCTGAGTAGATCTGCTGCAGTGAAACTAAACCTTATATCAAGATTGTGTGACCTGACAACTGATGACCACATGGCAAAAGTGATGCGTGACTACCCACAGTTGTTTGAAGGACTGGGTACCATGAAAGATGAGTACACCATCAAGCTAAAAGATGATGCAAAACCCTTTGCACTGACTGTGCCAAGAAAGGTCCCTATGCCACTGTATGAAGAAACCAAGCATGAAATTGAAAGGATGTTAAAGAGTGGAGTGATTTCGCCTGTGGACCACCCAACTGACTGGTGTGCTCCAATGGTAGTAACCCCTAAACCAAATGGTAAAGTCAGAGTGTGTGTAGACTTAACAAAGCTCAATGAGTATGTTCAGCGTGAGA